GTGTAGTGTTGGCACAAAATAGAGAGAATACAGAAGATTCACTCGATCCGATTTCGGATCCTCGCGACTGACAATTGTTACATAGCCAGGGTTGCTACTGTCAAAAATCTCAAAGTAAAAGAATATCAAAACAGCAAAATCTTATACTCAACTATTTCAAAGGCCTACTACTTGTATTAGGTGGTTGAAAAGCTCATCGGGTCGTTGGACGACTCGGTGTCCCACTCGAAAAGAAGATCAACAGTACCTACGAGCCACGTTACACAGAAGTTGGTCTACCACAAAATACCTAAATCACAAAGCCGAGTCCAAAACGGATGCACCTCCATCGATACTGTCACGGTAGGTGTTGGGCTGCGCAAGAGTTTAATTGTTCCATTCTCGCCCCATTATGCCACGGCCTTTGATGCAGCTCGGATGTTTGGCAACCTGAGACTTAAGCGGAACCACGCGGAACCTGGTCCTTGTACTGCAGGCAATGTTATTCATTGCTTGATTTAACTACCTGTTAGAGTGCCAATGTCCTATAACAGCCAGTAGTGTAGCACTACTAGCAGAATGACAAAATGCCAGACTGTCGTAGTATCACAACTTCAAAGCAGCAAAATGTAGAGACAGAATGTCGGTAGCAGAATTTCAAAATGACAGAATTTTAACGTAGCAAAATGTCGTAGTACCAGAAAATTTTAACAAATCAGAATGTCAAAATGCTAGAATGTCATATACTCAGTTTCCAGAAATCTCTTTCTTCTGATTCCAGTCACCGGCAAAGTGGTAGATAAATCTCGGTTGCCTTCTCGCCCCATTATGCCACGGCCTTTGATACGGCTCGGATGTTTGGAAACCTGCGTCTTAAGCGGAACTGACCATTGTACTGTAGACTAGTACAGCCAGAACAGTCCACAGCTGGACATTGGCCTCTGTATATTCACAACGCTCGGCAGGTGGATTGGCGAGAGCAGTAAGTGTTGTAGATATTCTCAGGGAACGCTGCTGCCCATTCCCTGGATCCATCACTGAGTCGGTTTTACGGCACCCACAGGTATTTTTTCTTTCTATTTCTATTTCAGCCTATTGCAGTCCACTGCTGGACGTAGGCCTCCCCCAGGGAACGCCATAAGGCACGATCTCCCGTTTTTGCCATCCAGTCGCTACCAGCCGCCTTTTTCAAGTCATCGGTCCATCTGGCTGGAGGGCGTCCAACGCTACGCTTGCCGAGGCGTGGCCTCCACTCGAGAACCCGCTTACTCCACCGTCCGTCGGTTCTACGACAGATGTGGCCAGCCCACTGCCACTTCAGCTTGCTACACTTCCAGACTATGTCCGTCACTTTGGTCTTTTTTCGGATGGCCTCATTCCGGACTTTATCCATTATAGAGATACCAAGCATAGACCTTTCCATAGCTCTCTGAGTGACATGTAGCCGGTGGGCCAGTTTTACTGTCAAGTTCCACGTCTCGGCTCCGTAGGTCATGACTGGTAGGACGCATTGATCGAACACATTGGTCTTAAGGCATTGTGGCAAAGATGATTCGAGGATGTGACGCAGCTTTCCAAATGCTACCCAACCAAGCTGCACTCTTCTGGTGATTTCAGCCTCAAAGTTGTCTCTTCCCATCTGCAAAGTTTGCCCAAGGTACACGTATTTCTGGACAACTTCAAGGACTACACCTTCGACGGAGACCGGCTCGGGGATTATGTGTTGATTGAACATGACCTTCGTCTTATCCAAGTTCATCCCAAGTCCAACACGTCTCGAGGCAGAGTTAAGACTAGATAGCATTTTTTTGCAGGTCCTGCAGCGATTCGGCCATAATGACTATGTCGTCGGCAAAGCGGAGATGCGTGAGACTTTCGCCGTTGACGTTGATGCCCAGTCCATCCCACTGTAGAGTTTTGAAGACATCCTCCAATGCGTTGGTGAAGAGTTTCGGGGATATAACGTCACCCTGTCTTACACCACGGAGCAGTTGGATGGGTCTTGTATTATGGTTTTGTACTTGAACGGACATCGTAGCCATTTGATAAAGGCTTCTCAGCACCTCCACATACCGCCAGTCGACTTGGCACCGCTGCAAGGACTCCAAAACAGCCCAGGTTTCGATAGAGTCGAAGGCTTTTTCGTAGTCCACAAAAGCCATACACAGTGGTTGGTTATACTCCTCTGTCTTCTGTATAACCTGCCTTACAGTATGGATGTGGTCCACGGTACTGAAGCCCTTACGAAACCCGGCCTGTTCCGGTGGCTGAAAGGCGTCAAATCTTGATGCCAGACGATTCGTGACGACTCTCGAGAACAGCTTATAGACGTGGCTCAGAAGTGTGATCGGCCTATAGATTTTGAGAAGCGTTTTGTCTCCTTTTTTGAAAAACAATGCCACTACACCTCTGCTCCACGCCTTCGGGGTTGTCCCATTGGCTATTACAGAGTTGAAAAGCCTTTTCAGCTCCTCGAGGACAGGTTTTCCACCGGCCTTAAGTAGCTCAGAGGCCACTCCGTCTTCCCCGGGAGCCTTCCCATTCTTAAGCTGTCTGAGAGCCGCCGCGATTTCGTCTATATCTACGTCCGGGAGATCTTCTGTAAAGTGGCGGGAGAGAGGAGCTCTTGGGTCTGGGGTCGCATCAGGTGGAGGCTTTTTCGCATGTGAGGCATACAGATTTCCATAGAAGTCCTCAATTTCAGCGAGAATCTCTGGAACCGATGTGACAGTTACACCATTCGAGGTAGTTAGCTTTGCCAGATGACTCCTTCCCAGTGTCTTGGTAAAAACTTTCGACCCTCGGTTTTTCTCAATCGCCTCCTTTACGATTCGAGTGTTATAGCTTCGGAGGTCGCGTCTTACCATACTTCGGATCTTTTTGTTAAGTGACTGGGGATCTGGCAATGCATCCTCTGGTGTTTCCCGTCTAATTCGCATCAGTTCCAGGGCCTCGCTTGAAAGTTTGGACTTCTTGTCTGTTCGCCTTTTACGAAAATGCTTCGTCCCCACTTCGCGAATACTTTTAATTTTTTCTTTTACTACAAGCAATTTACAGAAACCTAACTAGTTTACTACTACTTAACGTGTAACGAATTCACTCCTTCTTCGAGTGGGACACCAATTCATCCAACGACCCGATGAACCCTGGTGTCAGAGTTTGTCAACCGCCTACTACAACTGCAAGGCCTTTGCCATGGTTGTGTAACGACCGCCGTCTATGTTATCATCATATACAGCAACCGGGACCGATAGCGAATTCAGTACAAGTACCAATGGAATTTTTTAGGTCTACTGGAATCTACAATCTAGATATTAAGAGGTCGTATCGGAACTTTGTTCTTTATACAGGATGTTCCGCAGACGATATCGCGCCGTATTGGAAACGAATGAATAAGCGGACGTTCGTAATTTGAATAACACTTGTTTCATAAAGCGTGCCGGCGAGTCGAGCGAGCCTTCACGGCAAATCGACTTCAAGGCACTGAAAAGTTTATACACCTTACTTACTAGGTAGTATTTGTTGCTTGTACAAGGGTTATTGTACCTAGTAGGCTTAGCTTAGACTATTTTTTTTCTACATATCCATTTTTGTGTCCCACTGCTGGGCAAAGGCCTCCCCTCTTTTGCGCCACTTATCCCGGTCTTCAGTTTGCGACTCCCAGTCTTCACAAGTTATGTCGCCATCCCGCCAGCTTAGACTATAAGAATGATTATTGTAGGTGTATGATTATATGTAAGTAGGCACCACTAATTAACAGTGACATTACAGAATGTAAGGTACTACTTAGCTAATTATAAGTTACAAATACAAGTCACGTTATCAACTCCTTTGACAATAGATTTATTCTTAATGAAAAGTATAAGAAATGAAAAGCTGTTTAGGCAAACAAGACAAGATAAACACATGAATAATAAAGCAAATATCTATACAACAAACTCAATTATCTAAACAATAAATAACTATTCAACTATTTCGCGATCAATTACCTACTTACATCTTGAATGAGATACCTTACAAGTCCTTACTTCGAAGGCTTTTCTCATTTATCCAAAAGAAGTCTCAATACCCAATTTGTGTACAATATGTTTGGTAAAATAAACACAATAGTTGCTATAAACATGAACAAATTAACGGCATTAATTGCAAGCACGCGCCAATTAGAAGCTTAAGGCCGTTAGATTGTTAAAACAAACAAAAGACGAATTATGTAGTCACTAAATAGATTCTGATAATTCATTCAACGTCTTTTGTTTAGGGTAAATTAAGCACATCAATATTTCATAGCCTTATGAAAGGTGATATGTTGCTGATGTACAAAATATTTTGGTTAATAAGTATTTCTTTGTATTTGTGATATTTGTCTCTCAAGCTCTAGGTAATTACATGGTCGACGTTTCAAAAATAACAAACCTATATAATGCATGTAGAATCGAATAGTATATGGGTACAAACAAATGTTTTTCCGTCTTGGGTAGACATTTTCAGAGAGAGCTTGTTTCATAAACAAGTGTTTTTGCATTTTATCTGATCTATTTTTTTCAAAAAGTAAATGGTCTGAAAACTCTACATCTCAGTTAATTTTACTGGAATTCCTTATTTCACGAATGGAAATCTGTAACGTCAATTATTGAGGAATTGAAAACAATTTCAAAAGCTGCATTCGTATAACACCTCTTTATGACAGAACATCCAAAACTTAGCAATACGTAAATTGAATGAAGTAAGTAAATTGGCCAGTTTTGCATACAATCAAGCTGCGAGCAAAAACTATGAAAACCCTCAGATTTTCTCACGCGAGATCCGTATCTCATTTAACACCTTTTTGTATTTTATTGCTAAATAAACCAAAGTTCGGCGAACTCACACGTAAAGTCCGTCGCTGCTCTATTTTAGCGCAGTGCTAACGCATGCAACTGTCAGATGCATACTAAATGCATGCTAAAGCTACTCGTAAGTAGTCAAGTAACAAAACTATATGAACTATACAAATGGTTCACAATTTCACCGCCTTTGTTAAAGCCTATCGTAGTGTAGCGGTCAACACGTCTGACCCGGCTTGTCAGTGGACGTAGATTCGAATCCTATCAGAGGCGTGATTTTTTTCCAATTACTTCGTTTGTATTAACTTTGTAACCTAAAAGTTAAGATGCATACAAATTACGAATTCGCCATGCTAAGTTTCTGCGCTGCGCTGTTTGAACTCGAGTTTTTTTTTAGTAAAGGGATGCATCCGATAGACGCATGACTTAGCGCTGCGTTAAAAGTTTGTAGCAACGGATGTTACGTGTGGACCCCGCCTAAACTAAAGTTCGTTTAATTTTGAAATATTCCCAAGTTCTACCCTTCTTGTGAAATTATTGCTCAAAGATGGGTTGGTTGTATGGAATAGCTTTTTGTGTTTTAAATTAGTAAATTGTAACGCAATTTTATTTGAATTAGTATTTAGGTATTTGCGTGATGTGAATGGAAGCAAAGTGTGGCAGACAGTTAAATGATTATAATCAACGCATCAACCTATCCGCAAGACGCAAGGCACATGACCAAACCTGGTTCGAGACCTTCGGGGCCACGAGAACGCGTCAACATCTTCTTTGTCATCTTATTCTGCCCTCAATTATCGTGTGGTGCCGGCTTAGAATAGTATCACCCCATATCTATCCCACACATTTTTCATTTACACCTCATGATTTTTTAGTGCCAGCCGGATCCAGTATATTCGATGAAAGAAGATTACGAAGTTCCACACAAAAACAAGATGTCATAATATCCTCGATGGCGCACATAGCCGCATAAAACGATTCTCCTAATTTACTACCGCCAGCAAATCCCAACTAGACCAACTTATTCTGGTTTTTTTTTCTTTTATATAAACAAAGGGTAAGAATTTGTCCGCAATCTCACCTGATGTTAAGTGACGATGCAGACGATGATGGAGCATGCTCGCCCAGATAATGCCTATTCACTCTCGCCTTGAAAAGGCCAGGTTATAACGTTCCGGAAACAGATCCGCAGGCAGGGAGTTCCACTCCTTAGCAGTTCGCATTAAGGTGGGCTTAAAAACCAAGCGACAGCGACAACGACGCGCGTCGTTGTCGCCGTCAAATGTAGAAGTGAAGCGCTTTGTGCGAATTTGCGGGATGTCTACGATATAAGGGTGGAATCCCAACCGGCGTCTCGTGCACCGGAGATGGAATGGTGACGGAGGTATCAGGTCATGGAGAGACTGTGCACACTCCCCGAAATGTATCCTGTAGAATACCGACAAGCAAGCTACTTTGCGACGGTGTTCGAGGCTCTGTAACTTTGCGTCAATATAAGTGCCCTATTAGCGATGAGTTTCAAATTGTAAGAAATATTCATACAAATTGTAAGAAAAGCCAGTAAAAGTTGATCCCTTAAATGGGTAAGTGAATTTGCTGGCGATAGGACATATGTGGGAGGTGGAATTTACACAATCTTAATATACATGTTAGACTTTCGTTATCTTATCAAGGGTCAAGCGACCTTTTTGTTGATAAATTACTTTGTATGACCGTTTGGAAATTCCTACCTACTTATGACCACCGTTTTTTCTATAAAATTGTGCAAAACACAGTTTAATAACATCCGTTTCGCATCAGCCTCTCGTGCTGTGGCGAAACATGAAGAGGATTCTCATACTGCAACTGTTATTCGCGCGGACATGCGTTTTGGAGCTAATAGAGCTTTCTGTGCAGCGCTGAAGTATCGCACGTGACACAACAACCACGAGAGTTCGCTGTTGGATATGGCTTATTCTATTAGAGGTAGTTTGCCATAATAACTAACTACACTTTGCACGAGGATAGGTGAGCGCAGTGCGAGGTGTTAAATCTAATACATGAAACGCATTCCCTGGTATCATCTTATGTTTGCGAACCTTCAGGTAGAAATGTATGGCTAAGCTGTTAGCCGGCGTCACGCGGAGTATCACACTCTGCGTCGCATTTCTGCAGAAATGTTTGACATTGACTCGGGTCAAGGTTAACATAATCCGCGAAGACAGTCAGCAAAGTATGAAAATGACTGCCGCAACAGCAGCGACCGACTTTTTAAATGCGCCTCGAATTATCATAATTTATCAATTTTGTCATTACCGATTTACAGTAATTGAATGATCAAAATAACTGCTTTTGAAGGTGCGTATGACTATTAGACTTGGGCCTGATGGGAGGTGAAAATAATAGCACCTATTGTAGGAAAATCTGATGTACTTCGTAGGGCACTTCAAACCGTCGGTTTTTAATCGGACGTTATATGACTACTTTATTGTAGTTGTTGGTTGTCTTGTGAAAACTCTTATACTAGGGTTCATCGGGTCGTTGAAAGACTCGGTGTTCCACACGAAGAGAGGGAGAAGCACTTCATACCCAACCGTAAGCTCAGCGGGATGTTTGTAGAATCTCTGTCTCACATGATACTTACGAATAAAAGAATGAGCAACCTTGTACCCTTTACACCCTCAGTATCCATCTATCAAGTCGAATCAGCCATTTTTCTCCAGAAACTGCCTTGAACTGACCGGGAGTCGAACCTTGGTCATTGTTAACAGCTATTGTGTAACGATAGTGACTGGGGCAGATTTATACTGTGAATCCTGTTGGCATACATTGATGAAGTAATTTTATGCCAGACTTAAGGCAAGGGTCATTGCGATTTTTCCGATTCGAAATAGGTAAATGTTATGTATGATTAAGTATTTGACAACCTAGTTTATAAAGTACCTATTAGTCTAGGTTAGGTTCGTCATAATTATTGGCCTCATGCTTTTATATGTGATAGACATCACTGTCTACAACGTTTTTTACGCAGCTTAGTAACAGTAAGTTAAATCCACTGTAAAATTTCTGTAATGTTACTTCTCTCGTATTTAAGAGCTCATTATTTTTGTCGTTGAAGTACCTAAACGCCTGTTGTCTCATATTATCTTTTGGTATAAGGTTGTAAATAGTCGACCAATATACATCATCTGAGCGCTTTAAATGGCACTTACTGCGGAACGGTAGTAGACGGACGATCCTCCCTCATTCCATACGGACAGAAGTCCCCCAGGGCTCCGTCATATTCATATCCCCGCTTCTTTTTACGCTATACACTAGCGACATCCCCCGACCAACCACTTCGCTCGCTCAGCTTGCTATGTTCACTGACGACACCGCTATCTATGCGTCCCACTGTAACGGCGACAAACTAGTCAAGATTATCCAAAGCGCATTTGATTTAGTTTGCCAAAAATCTATGCTATAGACCTGCCAAGGGAAGCCCCGTGTCCAATTATGGACATCTCACATCTGTTACCTAATGATGATGAGGATGAATGAAATAGCCTTGTCATTACCGTCTTCAATCATATTTTGACAGAATTCTTACGCTTCTGTTCACACGATGGACTTCAATTACGCTATGTTCACACGGGATTACTAAACTAGTTAACCAATATTATAACTGAGTTTTGTAATTTGGATAACAACTACTGTTTAATAGTTTGCGTAGATTACAATGTTGTACGATAGTAAACTATTACCTACTTATATCTAGAATCTAACATCTTCTAAAATCTAAAATTGAAAGATTGTTCCTTGCTTGCTCGCATAAAGATAATACTACAAAATAGCAGAGCTATCAGCTTATTTTATAAAGAATTTTCTGCCTAGGTAATTGAAACCTACTGTGATGATTCGAAGATTTTCTTGTAAAAAAAGTGGTAGAATGTTTTTATTTTTACGATAGATTTTTAAAGATTTAGTAATTTATTTCCTTATAAAATGGCAACACTGGCACTCTCGTCTGACAAGCGGCATTTTGAACCAGCCAATCAGGAAGAGGGCCAGTGGCCAATCGTAAGCGAGAGCCAGCTTTGGCATTTTAGAGGAAAGGGTAACGGAAAGTGGGGATTTGGAAGGGTTAGCGAGTGCAGTCAGTCATTCTACAGTTTAGTTTTTTGTCGGCGATCGAATAGTTCGGACGTGTTCGAAGTATAATTTTGTAAAACAGTGATTTGAGTTCTGAAGTGTTTAATAAAGTTCAGCTGAAACGTTATCTGGAGTTTGATTTATTAAACTTCAGAAGTGTGAACCCAGGATCCACAAGATAAGGTATGTAGCCTATATATTATTGCTTTCAATTTCAAAAGTTATAATTTTCAATTTGAATTTGCCGTAAGAAACCGAAGCATTTTTAATTGTTTTTTTTTTTGTTTTTTTTAAAAAAGAATAATGATCGAGTTAATATTGCGTTCGAGCTACTCTTGGACAATATTAATTTGATGTAATGTTGGGATCACTCTGGCCAGGCTAGCACTTGACGGAGTTTCCCTGCACTACTTATTTTCTTATACTTTACTGATCTATAAATTTCTTGAGAAAAATATCGAGTTAATATTGAGTCCAAGCTACTCTTGGACGATATTAATTTGATGTAATGTTGGGATCACTCTGGCCAGGCTAACACTTGACAGAGTTTCCCTACAGTACCTGCACATTTCGCTTATTTTTCACTGACGTAATAAATTTAAGGGAGCAAAGTTATTGAGTTAACATTACGTTCAAGCAACTCTTGAAGAATGTTAATTTATACGGTTGCAAAGATAACTCTGGCCAGGCTAACACTTGACAGAGTTGTCTTGCAATACCGATTTGCTAGTACCTTTCTCATAGCATGTTACTCAAAGTCGAGTTAGCATTGTGTTCAAGCAACTCTTGTAGAATGTTAATTTGATTAAATGTAGGAACCACTCTGACTAGGCTGACACCCTGCAGAGTTTTCCTGCATATAATAATTGAGTAACAATTGTAAAGTGTACAAAAGAATGAATAAAGCTAAAGATATCCTAGTAACGTTGGTCTTACGGTAGGTTCAAATTACTTGTCTAAGTGATTGATCATCCTATTGAAATTATAAATTCTATTGTTGTGACTCATAGAACGAAAGTGATACAATTTTTTGAAAATTTCCTGTGAATTTGATGTGCTTCTGAATATAGATTGGACGGGCCAAGTGTGCCTAACTAATGGAAGGGCTAAGTATGCCCCATTTGCACTAACTAATGCGACAAATAACTTGTCATACCTTTTCT